AAGTAGTTAATTTTTGCATTATGCCAATCCTTTAGCCAAACAAGATAATCCATCAATTGCAAGACTATTTCTTCTATATTTAATTTACATTTTATGAAGATACTTTAGCGTAATTTTTTGCATCAAAAATTTATATTTATATTTGATTTCTTTTAATTAGTAGATATTGATTGAATCATTTCTAAATAAATTACGACAAAAAAATGTTTAGACTCATAAGATTTTTAATATTCGCAAGATTTTTTCCTAATTCTTCCAAATCACAAAATGATAAATGATTGCACCTAAAAGTTATTTTATTAATCAGTTAAAATTTATTTTTTTACCAATAAATTACCTTAGTTTGAATGTTAAATTCTAAAGGCCATTTAATAATACTAATTTTTAGCATATCCTAACAAGTCTTTTTCCACTTACAGAGCATCCACTTTTAGAATAATTAAGACTCATCAATTATATTTTTAATATTTTTCAACAAAGTAAATATGTTTGTTATACCTAAAATATAGCTCAAGATCTCTTAATTAAGATGAATCATAATTGAGAAACTTTTTTGTAATAAAGTAAATAAATATATTAAAGATTAGTTTAAAATATATTTTTACATCATCAACTATTTCAAATCTGCTTTATACAGAAGCCATTTTTTAAGCTTAATTTATTTTTTTATTATCAAATACCAAATTAATCTGCTTTTAAAGATTATAAAAAATTAAATAAGCGATAAATGTTTTAAACAAAACCAAATCTAATGTTAAATAAGAAATTCAATATTTTTTAGAAAAAAAGATTCAAATTACTTTATTTGCTTATCAATTTTAATAAAAAATGAGTAACTTAATTTTTTAATCCAAAAAATTCTTAATTTAGTTTTTTATGTAAACCAAAAATCATTAGTTTGTCTTTTTTTAATAAAAGTTGAGAAATTTAATATTTTATTTCAAAGATAATTGCATTAAGTCATTAATTTAAAGAAAAAAATCTATTTAGTCATTTTTAATAAAAAATGAGTAACTTAATTTTTTAATCCAAAAAATTCTTAATTTAATTTTTTATGTAAACCAAAAATCATTAGTTTGTCTTTTTTTAATAAAAGTTGAGAAATTTAATATTTTATTTCAATGATAATTGCATTAAGCTTTTAATTTAAAGAAAAAAATCTATTTAGTCATTTTTAATAAAAAATGAGTAACTTAATTTTTAAATCCAAAAAATTCTTAATTTAGCTTTTTATTTCAACCAAAAATTTATAGTTTGTCATTTTTAATAAAAGATGAGAAATTTAATATTTTATTTCAAAGATAATTGCATTAAGACATTAATTTAAAGAAAAAAATTTATTTAGTCATTTTTAATAAAAAATGAGTAACTTAATTTTTTAATCCAATAAATTCTTAATTTAGTTTTTTATTTAAACCAAAAACCTTTAGTTTGTCTTTTTTAATAAAAGTTGAGAAATTTAATATTTCATTTCAAAGATAATTGCATTAAGCCATTAATTTAAAGAAAAAAATCTATTTAGTCATTTTTAATAAAAAATGAGTAACCTAATTTTTTAATCCAAAAAATTCTTAATTTAGTTTTTTATTTAAACCAAAAATCTTTAGTTTGTCTTTTTTAATAAAAGAAGAAAAATTTAATATTATTTTTCAAATTTAATTGCATTAAGTCATTAATTTAAAGAAAAAATATTATTTACTCATTTTTAATAAAAAATGAGAAACTTAATTTTGTAATCCAAAAAATTCTTAATTTAGTTTTTTATTTAAACCAAAAATTAAAAGTTTGTCATTTTTTTATAAAAAATTTAATTAAATTTTTTATTAAATAAAAATATGATTAAATTATATAATATAAATTAAAAACAAATTTAAATTAAAAAATAAACAAACATCCAATTTAAAAATAAATTATTTATAAAATGATATATTTCATAATTTATTTTTATATCAAAGACCATAAAATTAATTATCATAAAATTTATATTTTTAATTTCAAAAAAATAGAATTAAAATTATTTATTTAGAATTAAAAAGTAAGCAAATAAACACATTAAAATAAAATAACATAAAAATTATAAATTAATTAATTTATTTTTTATTTAATTTTAGTATATAGCTTCTCAGCTACAGAAAAAATACGCTGTGTGCAAATAGAAATAGATCAAACATTTTATTTTAGACAATTTATGTTACCGTTTAATAGATTATAATAAGAAATATAAATATTTGTTATTATTATAATTATGTATAAAAAAGTAGGATTTAGATAAGATATAAGGGATATTGAGAAAGCGAATTTATTAATTACAATGAATACATTTTCATGTATTTTTGTAATTAGAAATATTTTCATATTTTAAAAAAATTTTACGTTTTTGTAATAGTTAATATTTTTTTTAATTTTGCTGATCAAAAATGTCAGATTTTAAAAAATATCAAAATAATCTAATTACAAAAAACACTTAAATAGTTAAAAAATTTATTTTATTCTAGTGAGCTCGCATTATAATAAACCTTTTATATCCAATCTCTGGTTCCAAATAGATTTTTAAGTACACA